CGCCACGTGGCTTACAGGTGCAGGAAGGGCAGCGCATGACAATACTTTCGGCCATGATGTCGGGTCACGCAAAGTCGATATGCTTTGTGTCTAATCCGCAGGTTTTGACGCTGCCTTCATCTATTCTCACATGATAATAATAATAGTAAGATCATTAAGCACTCATCTGCTCGAATTATATTAAAATGAAGCCCGAGCGTTCGTACACAATAAACAACACTGTCGAGAGGAGCACCATCATTCCAGCACCAATCCACATTTTGTCCTGTTTGGCCTGCCACTCAAGAGCCTTGAGTCTCTTCTGTACTTCAATGATTTCAGCGTTTACATTCCCATACTCTTCATGAGAGCTACGAAGACTTTGCCGCCCATCATCTAGCACTTTGGTTACCGAGCTCGCGCGTTCGATCTCCTGTGACATTACCTGCCTTGTGCGTTTGAGGGCGGCCGTTACATCTACTGCTGATCCTAATGTGCTGTCACTTTTTGATGTATTTGCCTCCTCAAACTTTTGTGGCAATAAGCTTTGGCGCTGCTGCTCAATGCGCTCGATTTTAGCGCGCTGACGATAGGCTACAAGAACCTTCCTGCAGTTGGTCATGTGACTATGGAGGTGCGCGTTGTGCTCCTCGAGCTTTTGTGCTACCAACTGTGCCTCTTTACTGTCTTGCATATCTCCAATCCAGTCATGCGCATTCGTGAGTGCGCGTCGATACGCATTGATAGCCTCGCTCATTTTTGCTTCAAGCGCCTGCTCCTCCTCGTTTGAAAATGTCAACCGCTGTTGGGACGGAGTGTCGCTTTGACGGATAGATAGATTTGTGGACACATAGCGCCAAATACCAAGTATGTGCTCAGCTTGTTCAAGCTCCTCCATACTTATGGACTAGACTTTCTTCAACTCTGTCTAGTCCTGTATAATATTATATTTTGTCGGAATTATGTTTAGAAACTTCAATCGAAATATGAGTTATAATGCGATGCAAAAAGAATGAAAATTATGAGTTTGGCTCATTATTGATGACAGATAATAGGTGCCAATTTCATTTCTTATAGAGCTCGGCGATCTGCTGCTCAAAGAAGGCCTTGAGTTGCGGGCGTTTGAGCTTGAAAGTAGGCGTGATTAGACCTTGCTCCAAAGAAAATGGGTCATGGTGGAAGTGCACCTTTTTAACTAACTCGAAACCCCGCAGGTTTGCTTGCTTAGCAACTCGAGCCATGTCCACAAGAACAGCCTTTTGAAATTCCGGGTTGTTGATCACCTTGGCACTCGACGCATCTGATCCACTTAAATTACGCTCATTAGCCCAAGCTTCTGCCACTTCAGGATCCGGTACCAGTATGCCAACTAAAAAGCTCTGCAATGAATCCCCGTAAGCAAATAGCTGTGCCACGTATTTGCTTCTAGAGTAGATATTCTCGATCTTTTCAACCGCTACGTACTCGCCTTGTGATAGCTTAAAAAAGTTCTTCTTGCGGTCAATGATACCCAAAGTCCCATCGGCATTCCAACAGCCAATGTCACCAGTATGAAACCATCCACGTTCATCGAACACCTCGCAAGTTTTCGCCGGCTCTTTATAGTACCCAGCAAAGACCGTCGGACTTTTCAAACAGATCTCACCACGTGGACGAGGTTTATCGCGACTAGTGTAGCCCATTTCCGGCACGTCCTCCAATTGCACCTGTCCATGCATGAGAGGCGTACCAACATGATTTCCCAACGGCATATCAGCAGAGCCAACGGTCGCAGCTGCCGCCGTTTCGCTCAGTCCATAGCCTTCCAGTACGTCGCAGCAAAATACTACTTTAAGAAACTCTTTCACTTCGGTACTCAAGGGTGCAGAGCCTGAAAATATAAGTCTTACTCGACCACCAAGAACCATGCGAACCTTTGAAAAAATCAACGTGTCCCACAAAGCGTGGGTTTTGTAGCCGTCC